GAATTCACAGAGAAAAAAAGTCAGAATTCAGAGAGAAAAAAGGTCAGAATTCACAGAGAAAAAAAGTCAGAATTCAGAGAGAAAAAAGGTCAGAATTCACAGAGGAAAAAAGTCAGAATTCAGAGAGGAAAAAGTCAAAATTGCACCCAATTCTGTTCGGTAAAAAAATTGTTTTTTTGTGGCAATGCAAAACAAGATCAAATGCACCCCCACTGATTTTAAAGTACAAAAAACACAGTAATCAATACTTTGTAGACAGACTGGGGAGGGGGGTTATCAGGGGTCCATGTTATTTACGGGGGGAGGGCCCTCACCTTTCTCTGCACCAGGAGCCTTCTCCTGGGTGGGAGTAGCGGCTGCTCGGCGAATAGGCATCACAGCAGATTAATCTAAAAAGAAAAGGATAAAGAACCACAGTGAGCATGTTTACAAGAATCTGTTTATATTCGTAGTAAGAAAGGACAACCCCCCTCCCACCCCCCTTCATTCATTCCCCCCTCCGTTTGAATCCAGAGGTAGATTTATCCTCCAAAGAAAAGACCAACGCCCCCTAAAAAACACCGCAGCGACCCTGAATATCCACCAGCTTTCACCAAACTTCATCTCATCCTCTCCCCCAAAACAATGAGCGACGACAATTTTTTTTCGCCACAATCGCCATTTTGTCCGTGGGGCTGGGAGCACAGTAATGGCGTCGCGCAAGGCAGATAAGATTCATTTCAGTTGCAATGGGAGCAAATAAAAACACAACCTTTCCAATTAGCAGCGTTTCTGAGCATGAAATCGGTGCAAGTTAATGTTCCGCGTAAAATGATTATGTATGCAAAGCGGGCAAACCTCTTAGCGGTGCGCTGGGAAGTGGGATAGTTTCAGGTGAGATTTCTGCAGGATCCTTTATTTCGATTTCTCCGTTAACGAGCCCCGCCCCGCGTGCGCTGCTGATGACGTGCGGCGTCACGCGGAACCTCAGAGGATTCAAATAATAATAAAATGGGGCCGTTATGGAAGAAAAAAAAATCTAATCAGTTTCCTTCAATGCACTAATCATCCAATTTAGATATTAAAGTTTAACAAATGAAAAAATAAACACCATAAATTATTTTCTTTTCCTTTGATCTTACCTGCTGACCTGACAGCTTTTCCACTTTGTCAGAACAACTCAAATCCATTTAGTACATAAAAAAAAATCCAAAGTTAAATAAGAAGCTGCATTGTTTCTGAAAAAAAAAAAGTTGTGTTAATGAGCTCTATATTAGAGATAATTCTACATCAACTTTATTGCTTATTTAAGGGTAATCATATTTATATTTCCTAGTAAGTCAGTGTCAAATGGGTTAAAGATCTATCCTGTCCATACACCTTTCAGAAAAAGTAAAAGATATCTGCATTACTTCCATCTGATAACATCTGTAGAAGTGTTACAGCTTATTTCATTGCACTGAAATTGTAAGGAGTTGTGTAAAACATATTCTAAATAATTCATATTATCAGATTTGTTTGTATGTTTTCCCTTAAGTTTTTCTAAAAAAAAAAACATTGTGGGAAAATGTATCTTACAGTAGCAAACAAAGGATTAATCATAAATCATAACTTTCACATGCATTGGTGTTGAGAATAATTGCTGAACTGAACCTTGAAAGAACGTGGCTGCACACATTTAAGAGAAAGAATCCAGATTAGAGACAGATCCAGCCGGTTGGAGCTGCAGAGGCGGAGAATAAACACCGCTGTGGTGCTAGGATACCCGTTTAATTCTTAGGTCCTCTCTCTGTGAATCAATGAATCCCAGGGAAGTGATGTAGCAACAGAATCCCGTGTTATTTCACCTTAACACAGTTAAACACAAACATCCTTCAGATGATCGCTTGGCCTACCAGGCCAGAAGGATCCCAGTGTTTCCACTAGGTTCTGGGTCTGCCACATTGTCTCCTGCCAGTTGGACTGGCCTTAGAAAATTCTCCAAACAGGAGGGACACCCAACAAGTATCCTAATTGTATCCCTGCTCCACCTCAGCAGACTCTTACTACTCTGCACTCCCAACCCTTTGTCCAAGTGTTGGCCCAGTCACCCAATGGCAGAAATTCATTTAAGCTGCTTGTTTTGTGTCATATCTCAGTTCAAAGTGGTAACATGGGGCTTTAAACTGACATCCATATCTTAAATGATGCCGATATGAAATCGGAGAATTCTTATCAGCATATTTAGAGGATGTTTAATGATGAATTAATAAGGAAATCTGATGGAATACAAAGAATAGCTGCATCCTGGTTACAATATCAATCTGTCCCAGATAATAAATGATGTCCAAAATAAAAATAAAAACTACAAAAAGATTACAGAGTTCAAAAAACAACCTGCATTTGAGCAAGATAAATATTACTCTTTCACATTTTTTTTTAGTAGCTAATTATTTTATAGATGCTGATAACCTTCACTATCGTTTTAAATTTAAATGTGAGGATTTTCTTAAAAGGATACATTAAATTGTTTTTATTTAATTACTAAGTTGAAAGTGAACAATGTAGTTTTTGTTTATAGGTTGCCTGAGGTAAAAGTGTCACCATTTCATAAGACTTTAAAACTGGAACAGATTTCATATTTTCATAGGACCCTCGTCATGTCGAAAAGTTTTTCTCAGGAGAATCAGAATGCAGCAGGGATATCCACACCTCCCACAACAAAGAGAAGTCACAAGAATCAGAACCTTTTAAATACATTTTTCATCTTTAATGTATTTACAAGCTTTCATCTGCTCCGAAGGTCATGAGAATTACAAGCATCTTGTTTGCAGCGACCCTGGCCTTTGCGATGGATGCTGAACTTTAGTTCTTTTTCACTTTGTTCATCTGCGCATTAACAGTTCTGATTTGCATCTCTTACCTGGATGCATATTTTACCTCACTTGAGGCGGTTGAGTTCATACCAACGCAGGCCGAGTCGAGGCTGAGGAAACTAGCTTCCTGGTGATAACGAGATGACCTTTGACCACAGAGTTATGAGTTCTCGTTTATTATCTCCTTTCTGCTTCGCCTTCAACCTAAAATAAAGACGCTCTTACCCTGTCCTCATCCAGAGTGAAAAGCAGGGAGGATATTTACCTCAATTATTTTGTTATTATAATTATATTGTTATTTCTGTTGTTGCGTTCTCACTGTGAGCATCTGCAAATGTTAAATAATTTTCATATTTGCAGTCCTTAAAAAAATAATAAATTAAGGAGTCCAGAACCTATGTATCTTTAAGTCTCTTCTTAAAAACGTAACAAAAAAAGTAAGTTAAAATTTAAAACAAAAATATTTTCTATGTATGATACAGTATTTAGTGCTTCCACCGTTGGAATCCAAACTGAAGATGGCGGTATGTTTCAGAACTGTACCGCAGGCGGAGAGAAAAGAAAAAAAAAAAAAAAGGAAGAAGTTCCAGCCGTAAACACGCCGCCCAGTCCGTGCAGCCATTTTAGAAATTTGTTCTGCTGTTTAGGATGCCCTTCCATAACGTCGTGTCCCGGGATTCGCCCTCGTCAATTGTCCTCAGACTCCTCCTCAGCTTCCCGCAGCCAGGTGAAGAAAGCCGTGACGGACTTGAGGGCCACGCCTTTGCCGTCCTGCTCGGCAGGGTCCTTGCTCGTCTCCCACTTATAGAAAGCGTCCTCCGAGATTACGTCCTCGTCGTACAGACAGTCAAAGAACATCCGGAGAAGGTCTGCAAGGGAGCAGAGACACTGCTGAAAGTATTTTATTTTAAATTTGATTAACTTTAGTTGGGATATATCAAATGTTTTTTCAGGCAGTTGGAGTCTATCAATGCTCCGTGCGGTTTCTCTAAAACTCTCCTATGAAACTGTAGAGGTCTCTGCCACTGATGAGTCATGTGACCCAGAGCTCCGCTAACAGCAGCCTGAGCTCCCCTTAAACACCAGAGCTAAGCTAAAAGATGCTGCTGAGCTACAAAACAGATATGACCTTAATATTTACCTGATCAGATATATTTTTGATTCCATGAAGTTCAATTTAATCTAGAGGGGTGAATGTGACATTTTCTTTACAAGTAACTCCTTAACTTCTAACTGCTGGTCTAGGGCTCTGTTATCTGATTCAAAACATGAAGGAAGTTTGATTTTCATTTTGCAATAGTGCAGTGCTGATGGTTCTTTTAGGGAGACTAAACTGGAAAGTTACTGGTCTAGCGCCCCTAGTGGATAAAAGTTGCAGTGTTGCTTTAATCCCAAATGTATTAGAAAGGTATAAACAGGTTTGTAAAAAATTAGGACTTTTTAGTCTTAATTCAGATTTCTGGATTAAAGGTCTTAATGTCAAACCATCTGCAGTCAATACATTTTTATCTTTTAGGAAATTCAATGAAACAACAAACATTTTCCAAAAATAAGTTAAATTTTTCCTTAACTAAAGATACCTGTTTAATATTTCTAATGTCAATAGACAAGTCCTATCTTATAGTTTCCAAGGTAATCATCTGTTTGCATTCATCCCTGTTGAGCATAAAACTAAAAACTGTACATTTAACATATTTTACAATGTTTATATTGTCTGATTATCCCTTGTTATGTAATCATTTGTTTGTTTATTCCAAACCATGGGAGCATTTGCTTTGTATAAGTACTTACTTGGAGGCTGATCAAGAGAAACGATCAGCGCCTGAAGTGCATAAAGTGCTTGCAGCTGTCGCTCAGTGTCTGAGTTAAGGTACTTGAGTAAAACAGGCAACCTCTTCTGGATGATGGCCGTGTCCACGCGACAGCTAGGGTTCTCATCTGTGGGTCAAACGCAAGTGACAGAGTTGGTCCACAGAAAGCTGTGTTAATGCTGCAATTAACAGAAGTGTCTCTTCCGGTCGGAACGCTTACCTTTTACTGCTGCTTTACACACTGCTGCTTTACACACAGCCGTCATCAAAGCCCTCAGGAAGGGAGATGAGCTCGCCTGAGACTCGTCCAGGTTTGCCTAGAAAGTCAAACAGTTCAGATGAGATGCAGTAAGCTTGTTAGGCTTCAGGGTGTTGCTAAGGGATGCTAATCAGACTGCCGACTATAAGCTTTGAAATAAGTTTGAGGCTTACAGCACTGCTAATACATTGTTAAAGCAATGAGTGACTTTTAATCAAAGCATTCCTTGTAGAGGCTCTTCAAAAAGCAAAAAAAAAAAACCCTTAAGGTAGATTAAACAACTGAAAAATGCACGAGGAAATATGAATGATGGAATACCATAGCTCAAAGAATTATAAAGACAAGACTGATTGGCTCCTACACCAGTGTATCTATTTGAATTAAAACCAAGCCTGGTTCTGCTGCAGGTTTGTTCCTGTTAAAACGGAGCTCTTCCTTTCCACTGTTGCCCCATGCTTGTTCTGATGGAACTAATGCTGTAGAGTCTATGACTTCATGCAGTCAGCTGAGTTTTCTACCAATGGGTTTATGCCAGGCATGCATCGACCGACTCCAATTTTTTAATTTTTTTTTTTTAACACAAAAAAATAATTCCAACTCTGGTTGTAAAACAAAATATGAGGTATCCACAGTGGCCCAAAGTTCACCAACTATAAAATAGACAAACTCTGAAAAAGCAGTCTACAAGAAAGGACGGAACAGACCTGAAGGTCCTTCAGCTTTTTCAGCAAGACGCTACGTATCATCTATACACCAGCATGTTGAGAGTGTGATCCCTTCCTCCATAATCTGCAGAGCCAATGGCTTCAAAAAGATTATCAAGCTAATAAAGAAGGCCGGCTCTGTTCTAGGAACTCCTCTACAAACTCTGGAGATGATTTCACAAAGAAGAATCCTTCATAAAGTGAATAACATTATGGACAACAGTGAGAATCCTCTTCAGATTGGTAAACAACAGTGTCTTAAGTCAGAGGCTTCTCTAGATCTGGTGAAA